AAAAAAAAAAAAAAAAAAAGGGGGGAAAAATATTGTAATTGTAATGGAAAGAATTGTAAAAATAAGAATAACCATACGTACACACACGAACGTAAAACAGGGCGCCCGTGGCGAATTATAACCTGAGGATGCACTTAGCGTCACCGGCGAGGGTGTCCACATTTGGAGGTGGTAAGAACGTGAAAGGGAGGATGTACGTTGCCTTCTGCTTCGCTTGCTCCTCTTTGTCCATTGTTTTCTGTCTTGTTCCATTTTATCCACTTTACACTTTCCTTCTTTATCTCATTTCCCTCATGTCATTTCTCCAATTAGCTCCTTCAATTCTTCATCGTCCGACTGCAAAGGGGGGGGTATTGGGTGGGAATTCCCATTTGTACAATATCAAATAAAAATATCGCGCACGGAAGGTATGCACACATTAACGTATCATGGCTGGTTAGCTAGTCGCTTACATCCTCGGTGGTCTTATCGACTAGCTGTTCTCTGGCCTTCACATGCACAGGGTGGCTATCTGTGGGGAGTAAAAATTGGGGGAAAATATTGTATGACCATCAGAACGTTCAAATGATTAGAAGAACGTCAAGCCAAACGAGGGAGAAATTGCTGTTTGTGCACCTCGAGGGATGTCCGGTATTTTGTTAACTGTGGCAGCTAGTGGGAGGGAAAAAAAAAAAAAAAAAAAAAAAAAAAAAAAAAAAAAGGAAAAAAAAAAAAAAAAAAAAAAAGCTACTTAAATTAACAGAGGACTTGTCAAATGGGGATTACTAAGTTTTTCCTCCATGGTTTGTTCCTTCAGTAGGTCAAGCTCCTTGTCAATTTCGTCCTAGGGGGAGTGGCAATTTGTGAAGTGCGTCAGTCGGGCGTTCATCAGTTGGGGAAGCGACGCGAACAGGTGTTCACGGGCATGGAGACTGCTCAATCGCGTGTAGAACTTCTGAACAGTGCAGAAAATACCTGCACGCAACGTGCACACATCGCAAATTACCTCATCTACATTATTTAGCAGGTTACAGGCAAGGACCTGGTTTATCTCCTCCTGGATGTCCTTATTTTCTTGAATAGTGTCGATAATCTTTTCCACCTTTTGCGTATTTCTGCACAAAAAAGGGCGATAAGCGAGGGGAGGGAAAAAAAAAAGGGAAATGTAATTTGTTCCTGTGTAAGGCGGTGAATGGTGTTTTTTTTTCTTTTTCTGAGTGCTGCTTTGGATTGTCTAGACTTGGGCACGCGTCAATGCAATGTGCCTTTCGCCAAGCATCCACCCACGCGTCGGCCCAAACGTCCGCTGACGCGTCGACTGACGCGGCTGCACTGGCACGTACATTTCGTTGTTCAGCTTTTTATGCGTGTTGGCTGCATAAGACAAGGCGCTAACTGCGATTTTGTGTAAATGCATATTCTCCAAATTTATCATGTTGTCTTCCAGGGTTAGACGATTATTTAAAATGTTTTCTATTTCCTGCTCGTACAATTTTTTCCTTTTTAATAAAATTTTGGCATTGCTCATTTGGTTTTGCTCCACTTTCTGTTTAGCTTCTATTTCAAGTTGCTGCGGGGGGGTGGAGCGGCGTTACGGAGGAATGGGAAAGGAACAAAAAAAAAAAAAAAAAAAAAAAAAAAAAAAAAAAAAAAAAAAAAAAAAAAAAAAAAAAAAAAAAAAAAAAAAAAAAAAAAAAAAAAAAAACGAAACACACAGCAGCTATCTACACTACGAAGACTACACCGGATGAGCACCTGTAGAGGGTCATGCGTCTATGAGAATGTAAATTTGGGTGGTCCCCCTTTTTGTGTGTGATTACCTTAATTTTCTTCTCCACCTGCACCTGCTTCTTTTCGAGAGCATCTATGGCTTCTCTATTTTTCAGGATGGCTTTGTATATTTCGTCCTGGAGAAAGGCAGCATGGAAGGAGTGTGGGTTGCACCAGAGTTTGATGCAGTAACGAGAATAATAGGCATGGAATAACATCGGTGAGAAACAAAATGGGGACAACGGAAAGGCAAGTGCCAAGGACAACTATGCAAGTCTTACATTGTTCTTTTTTTTATTGTCGATGCATTCTGAACTGCTTTTCTTTTTACCAAACCAAAATCTCATCTTAAAAAGGCAAATGTGTACTCTTACGCGCTACAGAAATGCTGGGTAAGGGTTGTAAAGGCGGAAAAAAAAAAAAAATGGACTGGGCACACAAGGGGACAGTGAAAAAAGTGAAAAAAAAGGGAAATATATTAAAAAAAAAAAACATATATGTATGCAATACACTTATTGAAATTCTGCTAGAGTCAACACCCATGAAAAAAAAATCACAACTCGC